TTAATCCTTACTAATTATATAGCTTATTCGTTGAAGTTTACTATTCATTTGGTAAAAACTGTACTTTCCAGTTTCTCTGCTCCAACTTTGATCAAGCAAAACTCTTAGCACAGATCCATTTTAAGTTATCTACCACTTTTTTTAAAGATCAGATACTTTAACCATAACAAATTTCATCGGAAGAATCAATCGTTTGCCTCACCTCAACTTTGTCACTAATTCATGGCTACTTTAGGGATGCTTTATCCCCATAACTTGTATTAATAATTCATAATTAATTATTTCCTTGCATAATACTATTCCATTAATCCACAAACTATCCCATATATTATTATAGTCAATCATACATGACATCATCATTATTTATCATCACATGACATTAATAGCATGTTCATATCATACATTAACATACAAATTATACAATGTAATCCAATAAAATTTCTCAATTCTTTTCCTCTTTCCTTGCTTCCACTTCATGGATCCTTTGCTTAACCATTATCATCTATTATGGTTAGTTAAGGGAGAGTAAGATTTGAAAGAATTTTAGTAGCAAACATTACCATTTATGCATGCAAGATAGATGCAAGTGTGTGACATGCTTACTTAGTTTATGCTTGCTTATAACATTTTCTCATGCAAGCATTATTTCCGTGTGTTTTCTTTTTTGGTTAAGTATTCGGGGAAATGATATTTAAAGACCCAAAAAATTGCAAAATTTTGGCTTGGGTTCTAGAAATGACATAATCATTTTGAGAGAACAAATCTAAATTGGAATTATAAAATTCAAGCAAAATTACCAAAATACCAATTTTGTAATAAAGGGGTAAAATCTCAACCGAGACTTGTTATTATACAATCAGGACTTGTTATTTCTAGGTCAATTTTGGAAATAATGTCATTCCTAACATTAAAAAATATTTTTAAAATTCTTGACTCGAGACTTGTTATTTTATAATTAAGAGTTCTTATTCCTAGATAAAGTGTTGTCCCAAAAATTGTTTACGAATGAGAATATTTGGTAATTTTTCTTTAATTTCATAATTTCAATCTACGTTGTGGTCTCTCATAGAGATCATGTGTCACACCTTACTTTTATACTTCATTTTATATCAATTGAAACTATTTGGAATCATTTATCATGGCCTTGGCTTAGAAAAATTCGAACATTAAATTTTCTTAAATTTGGGTTGCTATTCATTGCAATCCTTAAAAAGGCTAAATTTTGAAAATTCATAATTAATTCTAAAAAAATCAAAATGAGATGGTTTAAAGTTCTCTGGAAAGCTCTTGACATGTTATAATAGAAAAATACTCATTGATATCTAGAACTCATGCATCAATACCAGATTTCGTTCAAAGTGGTACTGTTCATTTGGTCTTTTTTTAATTTTTCAAGATTTATGCTCAATTTTGGAAAGGCATAACTTTTTGTATAAAATGCCAAATTTAGTGAATTAGCACCTGTTTTAAAGCTAAAAGTGAGATCTATAAGCATGTCAAATTTCAGCTCAAGATTCAACCAATTGCTCAAAATCATGCTGGTCAAACTCGACCCTTAAAAAATCAACTTTTATCCCTTCTCCATGAGATTCTTGGTTTCTCTTTTCCTTTCCTTTCATATAACAGTTCCAATCATATAGCATATACTTAAACATGATTCCTTGGTCAATTGCTCATAGGTAGAGCATCCTTAATCATTGATACAACATTCCAACATAGTTCACAGTTATACATAACAATGTATATAATTACAAAACATCATTTCAATGACAATAAACTCCATCATCCTCCAAGTGAATCCCTTTTCTTTCTCCTCGCTTGATCTAACCTCTAGTTGGTGAATATTGGAATATAAAGGAATTATCATGTTAATCATGCTTTACAAAATGTGACATGTCACGATGCATAATAATCAATTCCAATTCCATGAATAGCACATTATTCCATCAAGGAAATTAGTACATATTGATATTTCATATCAATATGCATTTGGCCAAAGCATGTCAAACATCAAAGGGCATTCCATACCATAGTAAAAATCCAATCATTTCATAATAAGGCAAAGCAAGCAACACAAACATTGAGTAAGCAAGAAAACAATCAAATTAGATTCAATGCTACCTCTTACACTTGAACCAATTCGGCCTTCTCAAGGGGTGTATGCTCTCCTTGATTCTTCTTCAAAAAAACATATCAATTCAAGTGTAATTACAAACCATATTAACAATCATTGAAGCTCAAACACAAACACTTAACCTTAAACCTTCTTAATTTCTCCTTTTCTTTGATTTTTGACATAATTATTCCTCCCTTGATTCCATCAATCTCTTAGCTTACTCTTGCATAATTTTTTATATAGAATCCAAATATCAAATCAAATTTTACAAAATCACACTCTTTCCTTTTCAATTTAACTTGGCGGAATAGGGGGTATTATGTTCCAAAATTTTTATTTTTGATTCCAATGATTTTAATTAAACACTTTACGTGTTTTTTCACACAAAAACACCTTTTAAACTCATTAAAATCATCAAATCACAGCAAAACAAATTTCTACCCCAAGAAACCATAGTGGCAGAAATATATGCTATAGAACCTCACTTCTAAAATTTAACCCAAACATCACTTAAAAATGTAAATTCAAGCTTATGTTCAAGGCTTCTATCCTTTCCTAACACATACTTCTATTGACCAAAATTGGGCAGCAATTTAACCTTAATTTACAACTTAATTTTCCAACCAAAACAAGCTTGAATCTTAACCAAAACAAAGCTCAAACATACCTTGATGAATTCTTGACCAAAGCTTGGTGTTTCCTCCTTCAATTACACTATCCAAAACTCACCTTTAAGCTTAAGAAATCAGTTTGACAGCACCTCCCCTCTTTTGTCAATGTTTGGCTATTTTAGTGTAATTAGGGGGTATTTATAAAGCAAAAATTATGAGCTCCTCCCCTCATCAATGGCCAAAATTTGGCCAGCAAAAATGGCCATGTAGCTGCCATGCCATGTGTCTATATTCCAAGAATATTTTGTTGATTTTCATTTGAAAATTGCGCTTAAATCCATTTTAATTATTGGGCTAGGTTTGCGCAAATTTTTGGGCATTTCTTGGGCCAATGTGAGGGTCCAATTTTGATCTGGAAAGTCTCAAGAATTTAGCCCAATAATAAAATATTAATTCCAACTAATATTTAAGCTTGTCAGTTCCTATTCACTTGTAACTTTTCATAATTTTTTTAGACCTCCAAAATTACATTTTTCACCATGAGAAATCCTCTTTTAATATAAGAATGAAATCTGAAAAATTCTAGAATTTTTCTCCACCTCTAACTTTTTATTTTGAATTTTTCCCCAATAAGGCTTTATCGGTAAGACTTTTGGGACTAAATTCTCTAAAATTAATTCCTGTATTTCCAGGGCCTAAAACTAATTTTATAAATTTTAATAAATATTAAGATAATTATTTCATATTTTTTCAGACTTATTGAGACCTCTAAATAATTATAATAATTATTTTCACTCACTTTTCACTATTTTTTCCCAAAAACCTCTGTTTTCAGGAAATTCTGTAAATAACTTTTTGTATATCATTTTCACATTTAGGGCTTCCATTGAGGTTTCAAATTCTCTAATTTATCTTTTTACCATTTTTCAGGAATATTTTGGAATTTGTTTCTAATTTTTTCATTTTGCCCTTCTTAGATCAATAATTCCAAAAATATCAGCCCAGATTCTATCTGGATTTTACTTAATGCCTGGCTTTGTCAGCAAGTCTACTTTTCATATTGGCCTTTGACTTAATTTTTCATATCCATTACCAGGGTTAATTTTTGCAAGATGTGACATCATGTGATTTTGAGAACACAATTAAAATTTCATAATTTTTAAGGTCTTTAAATGTCATTTTTCCTAAGTAATTTTGGTAGTGGATCATGGTTGGAAAGTTTGAATCTGGAGAGAGAAAGTTCAAGAAGAAAAGAAAAGCATGAGAAAACACCTCTAGACTTAATGAGATAGAGCTTGTTTTTGGTTAGTGTACTTGGATGTTGTTGTTATGGTTGCTTGTGGCTATTCGAAATTTTGGAGCGTTGAACTTGGATTAAGGTGCTCGCTATCACGTAAAAAGGCTTTAGTAACGTGCATCTCGTTATACTTAAATAATGACAAAGCGCTACAAGTGTAGCTACTAAAAAAATGTGATTAAGACGACAAGTTTTAAATCGCATGACCTCTCTCGTTGAATCAGTCTTTTTTGCCGTATCGGGGCTATGGGAGTCGAACCCAGATCTTCCGCGTCCCCTCCACAAATAACGAGAAAACTTTTCTTCTTATGCACGAGAATTTCTATTTTGCTGCTCCGGCCGTACGACGTGAGACAAAGTATACAAAATAAATCAAACAAATTTTGAATTTTAAATTATAAATATTTTTTTCATGAATATAGTTTATTTTAAAATTAAGTTTTATTTTTAGTTAACATTGGTTAGGCAAATAATTTCATTAAATATATGCATGATGTTGAATTATATCATATTATCTATTTACTTTTTGTACGTATGAGGAAAACTATTTATAATTAGTAAAAAATCTAATTATTAAAAAAAAATTACTATAGTAAAATCTAATTAATTGGTCTATATAAAAAAATTAAATGATTTGAATAGTTATAATAAGTATCCTTTTCCTATATATGTGTATATCCCACATAATTTCTTTATTAAAAAATCTTTATACAAACAATTTGTTTTTGCATTAAAGACCAAAGTCAATCTAATCTATATCATGAGTTATTAATTATATCATAATCAAACTTCATTGTTTCACTATTCAAATATAAAATTCACTTCAATATTAGTTTGGTCTATAATCATAAATGCAAGTATTCATATAAATCCATTTGTCCATTTTGAATTTTTATCATATGTTACATCTTTTTTTTTTTTTAATCAGAACTGAATACAAATAACAAGGTCACGCCAAAGCAACAGCCTTGACGTCCTACTCGTGAACTATTCCACTGTTGACAATAGGAGGTTGGTCAAGAATACGGAAAGAGCCTTCCATTGTATGGGAAGACTTTGCTAAAAAATCGACCAAGGTCAAATTACTTATAGGAGTGTAACTTAGATAAACTTGCCAGTCCCTATGAAGTAATAGGCGGGTTTCTTCGATAAGGTCTCTAAAAGGGTGATCCAAGTTGTAGCCTCTAATCAAAAGATTAATGGCTTCAAGGCAATCTGAATGGACTACTATATCCCTGATTCCTCTGTCCCAACACATCTGCAAGCCATAGAAGATACCAAAGATTTCCACAACTTCTTGCAAGCGTAGCATTCCTCCACAGCCGCTACTATTGTCCTTCAAAACTGACCCGTCTGACTCCAGGTGGAAACCAGCATCTTGCCGAGTTCTTAAAATTCCTGAAATAGGTACCTCACCATGTTTCCATTTGTACTTCTGCACCAGGTCTCTGTCCATGCATGCTCTAGATAAACTGTCCTTGGCCATCTGATTTTTTGGATCCTGATCTAGGTTGAACAACTTTTCATAGCGTGTGACCCATATATCCCAACATATTGTCACGGACTTGGTCGCAATTCCAACGAACCGTGCGGCCTAGCAAACTTCTTGCCTTAAGTTGCTAGTCAGCCTACTCACGAAGGAACACGAAGGAACAAGAGACTCAAAGAAAGAACTTTGTATTGATCTCTCAAGTACTTACAACACTCTCACTTTCTTGAGTGTGTCAAATGAATGAGGGGGAGGGGGTATTTATAGTTCTCCACCTCCTCAATGGACGGCTAAGATCTACTTGATCCGACGGTTACAATGTCGTATCTAGAATACTCTACAAAAATATCTAGATATTTACAAAGGGGTTAGGTGTCTCTACAATTATCTATAGTGTTCTGGAACCTTCCAAGCTTCCCCAACAAGCTCCACACATTTCTAGAGAGTTCCAGACTTACCCAAGACTTTGTTGGACACCTTTGGACAGTTCTGGGCAGCGAGCCTTTGTGTATTTTTGGGCAAAACAGGAGCGATGCGTTACATTCTCCCCCACTTAATGTGGCGACGTCCTCGGCGCATCCCTCTTGTATGCCTCAATCTTCTCCTGATAGTCCCATAAAGCCAGCTCGTGTTCCCAGCTTGCTTCACTATCGGGAGACCCTTTCCATTTAACAAAGTATTCAATGTAGCTCGGATGACTCCCCCGTCTCGGTATTACTCGGTGCGCGAGGATTTCCTCTACTTCCCGTTCTGGCACCGTAGTAATTGCTGTAGGGGCTCTTCTAGACTCACCTCTACTTGGTTCATCCTTGTCTTCGTTGTACGGCTTCAGTAGGCTTACGTGAAAAACAGGATGCATCTCCAAGTGTGAAGGTAGAGTCAAGCGATAGGCTAGCTTACCGATGCGTTTCTCTATAGGAAACGGTCCTTCATAGCGCCTCACTAGCCCTTTATGAACCTTAGCGAACCTTCGGCTTTGATGAGGAAGGAGCTTCACCATGACTAAGTCACCTTCCTCAAACTCTAAGTGTCTCCTCTTAGCGTCGGCCCACTTCTTCATCTTTTCCGCGGCCTTAGCTAAGTACGCCCTCGCCATGTCTGATTTTTCATGCCACCCCTTGGCAAACTTGAAAGCTGAAGGACTCGGGCCTTTATAGCCAATAGCTAAAGTGTGCGGAGTCATTGGTTGTTGCCCTGTGGCTAACTCGAACGGACTTGACCCAGTTGATTCACTTTTCTGCAAGTTGTATGAAAACTGGGCAATGTCCAAGAGCTTAACCCAGTCCTTCTGGTTGGCACTTACATAGTGCCTCAAGTATAGTTCAAGTAAAGCGTTCACCCTTTCTGTTTGGCCATCGGTCTGTGGGTGAAAGCTTGTGGAAAAGTTAAGTTCGGACCCCATAATTTTGAAGAGCTCCATCCAAAATCTTCCTGTGAAGCGAGTGTCCCGATCGCTCACAATAGTCTTTGGTATGCCCCAATACTTTACCACGAACTTGAAGAATAACTTCGCAGCATCTTCTGCAGTGAACTTGGTTTGGACTGGTATGAACACTCCATACTTGCTAAACCGGTCCACCACCACCATAATGTTGCTGCATCCTTCTGTCTTCGGCAAACAAGTGATGAAGTCCATGGAAATACTTTCCCATGGTCTCTCGGGAATCGGAAGTGGCTCTAGTAAGCCAGAAACGGGGCGTTGTTCCACCTTGTCTTGCTGACACACAAGACAAGTCTTCACATAGAGCTCTACATCATCTCGCATCTGGGGCCAAAAGTATGCTCGCTCAATGAGTGCCATCGTGCGTCGAACTCCGGGATGTCCAGCCCACCTCGAGTCATGGCACTCCTTAATGATCTCCTTCCTTAAGCCTTGCCATTTCGGCACGTACACTCGGTTTCCTTTGGTTATGAGCACCCCATCCTCAAGCCAAAATCGGCGTGTCTTTCCTTGACTTGCCAATTCCATCAAACTTTTGGCTTGTGGGTCGTGCTTTAGTCCCTCCTTGACTCGATCAACCAAAGGGAAATTCGGGCTAGTGATGGAGGCAAGTTCGGCCTTTCTACTTAATGCGTCGGCCACGACGTTCCCTTTTCCTGGTTTATACTCCATCACAAAGTCAAACTCTGCTAAGAAGGCTTGCCACCTTACCTGCTTTGGTGTAAGCTTCTTCTGCTTAAGGAAGTAGCTCGTGGCGACATTATCGGTTTTCACAATGAACTTGGTACCTAGCAAATAATGTCTCCACGTTCTCAGGCAATGCACCACGGCCGTCATCTCTTTCTCTTGAACTGTGTAACGCCGTTCTGCATCATTGAGCTTACGACTCTCGTAAGCCACCGGATGACCTTCTTGCATTAGGACTCCTCCTAAGGCAAAGTCCGAAGCATCCGTTTGTATCTCGTATGGTTTGGTGTGGTCAGGCAAGGCCAATACCGGTTCCTTGATCACGGCTGCTTTCAGCTCCTCAAAAGCGGCTTGACACTTATCATCCCAATCCCATACTCGGTTTTTCTTTAAAAGATCAGTGAGGGGAGCGGCTATCGCAGAGTAACCTTTGATGAATTTTCGATAATAGTTGGCCAATCCAAGGAAAGAACGAAGTTCGGGTACCTTCCTTGGCGGCTCCCATTCCTGTATAGCACGCACCTTGGACTCATCCATCCGTAGTTTGCCCCCTCCGACAATGTGCCCTAAGAAAGTTACTTCCTGTTGAGCAAAGGCACATTTCTCCTTCTTGACGTACAACTCGTTCTCCCTGAGGACTTGGAAGACTTGCCTAAGATGCTTCACGTGCTCCTCCAACGTCTTGCTATAAATGACAATGTCATCCAAGTATACCACCACAAACTTGTCCAAGAACGATTGTAGGACTCGATTCATGAGGGTGCAAAATGTTGCTGGTGCATTTGTGAGTCCGAAAGGCATTACAAGAAATTCATACGAACCATACCTCGTGACACATGTTGTCTTTGGTTCGTCTCCCTCGGCTATCCGTACTTGATAATATCCCGACCTTAGATCCAACTTGGTAAACCAACGAGCCTGGCCAAGTTGATCAAAGAGATCGGCAATAAGTGGGATTGGGTACTTGTTCTTCACCGTGATCTTGTTAAGCGCCTGGTAGTCGATGCATAACCGAAGTGACCCATCATGCTTCTTCTGGAACAATACCGGGGCTCCATAAGGTGCTTTTGATGGACGGATATATCCCATGTCCACCAACTCTTTCAATTGCCTCCTGAGTTCCTCAAGCTCCGGAGGCGCCATACGGTAAGGCACTGCCGCAGGTGGTGTGGCACCAGGCACCAACTCTATCTTGTGGTCCACCTCTCTCTTTGGTGGCAACCTCTTGGGCAACTCGGGCGGCATCATGTCCTTGAATTCTTCTAGGACATGCTCAATACACCTCGGGAGGTTTTTAGTTGGCGAGGCTACTGCTTCTTCTTCCAAAGCAACTAGATATGTGGGCTGCTTCTTCTTTATGCCTTTGGAGAGTTGCATGGCTGAAATCTGCTTCTCTCGGAGTTGGGTTTCCCGTTCTAGAGGTACTAGTCGGGTGTTACCTTCTTCCAAGATGCACATCGTGTTGGCAAAGGGGATTGGCACAGCCTTAACCTTGTCCATGAATTCCATACCCAAGACAATTGGATAGTCATCCATGGTGACAATGGAGAAGTCTACGAGGCCGTTCCAATCGCCCAGGCTTACCTTGACATCACGAGCAACTCCAAAGGTAGCCCTCGGTCCTGAATTGACTGCCTTAAGCCAACCACGTTCTCCTTGGTAGTGAATGCCCAACTTTTTAGCCTCTTCCACTCTAAGGAAGTTGTTGGAAGCTCCCGTGTCCACAAGTGCTTTGACGGTGTGTCCTCCAATCTCGGTTTCACAAATAACCGTCCCTTCCTTCCGGACTTGGGCATCTCCACCTTTGCCTTAATGGCATTGAGGAGTTGTAGGGATCCTACTTTCTCCTCTTCTCGTTCCCGTTCCTCCTTTTCCTCGATCAATGCTGAAAGTTTAGCCTTCTTTGGGCAATCCCTAGCTTTATGTGGTCCTTCACAAGAGAAGCATTTAAGTGATGGCCTTTCTCCAGCTTTGTACTCCTTGGGACCCTTCGACTTGCCCGTGGTCTCCTTGCCTCGGTGATGCTCTCCCCCACTCTTTCCCTTGCCGCCCTTGTCTTTCAGCTTTGGCTTCTCGGGTTTCTTGAACTCAATAAGGGACTCAGCAATGGAGATAGCGGTGGTCAAGTCTTGAGCACCACGTCTCTGGATCTCAAGTTTAGCCCACTGTTGCAATCCATCCATAAAGGCAAAGAAAGCTTCTTTATCAGGATAGTCAGGGATCTCAAGCAGTACCTCGGTGAATTCCTTCACATACTCGCGAATGCTTCCCTTGTGTTGAAGACGCCTTAGCCTACCCCTGGCCTCTTCTTCAACATTGCTAGGATAAAATTGCTTCTTGAGCTCACCCTTGAATTCAGCCCAAGTGTCTATGGTGCAAGTGCCTTTCTCTATGTCCCCTTGTCTCCTCCTCCACCATACCATAGCAGTGTCCTCGAGGTAGAGACATGCCATGCTAACCTTAAGTGCATCATCGGTAACGACGTTCGCTCGGAAGTATTGCTCCATACTCCATAGAAAATTATCTAGTTCCTTCGCATTTCTTGTCCCTTTGAAAGCCTTGGGTCGTGGAACATCTACTTTAGAGGATGTAGTCCTTACCTCGGACGTTGACGGACTTTCTTGTGCAAGAGCCTTCTTGCACAAGATGAGCTCCTCTTCGGCACTCTCCAACTTACGCGAGACCCTCGCGAGTTCTCCACGAATCAAAGAAACCTCATCCCTGTGAGACTCTTCCATGGCCTTCATCCTGTCGAGACATTGGGCGAGGACTTTGTTCATGGCGGCTTGCATCTCCTCACGGAACTCGTCCATGCTTTGCCCCATCTCCTCGAACTTCTCCTCCCCGTCGGCTATTGCAAGCTCCACCT